CTAGCCTTGAGCTGAAGAGCTGAGGGACAGCGCCCAGGCCCAGAGTTCAGGCCCCACAACTGGACTCAAAAAAAAAAAAAAAGTCCTAAGATTACAATGAAAGCTCACAATATTTGTCATAATGAATGGAGATTAATATCTGGGAAAGGCATAGAACCATAATTGAAGCTAAGTACTTCTAGTGATTTTGAAGATACATAACTGTAAAGTCATCCTAAGATCTTCAAGAAAAACAGCAATTACATGATTGTTTTATCCAGTCACAGCCGCTTTGTTTTATTTTGAAACATAGAATGAAAATTTTAAATGTACTTAATTAAAATTTGTTTTTCATACTGTTTTTCTTGGTTTGTACTCCAATTCCCTATGCACAAATTAGGTGGAGTAGAATGGCTGCAAATGAAGGAAAACGACTTCTCTTATAGACCCAACATGATCTGTAGTTTTGTACATGAAAATGAAGATGAAGTTATAGTTCCAGCCCCTGAAAAACCTTTGGATTTGGAAGAGCAAGAGATTCAAATAAAAGACAGTTCAAATTTGATCTATGAACAGGAAAAACAAATGCACCTGGATCCTGGCCTTCTTGCTGGCACTCCTTCTGAGATGGAAGGTTCTATTTTTATGGAAACTCAAGATGATGCCTTAGAAATCACTCCTCGATAAAAATATTTCTCATAATAACTTAAAAAAACTTTTACTTAAAATAATTGGCTGTGTAGCTTTCAGTTGGTTCACTGTTTATTATAGTTTTGGCCATATGAATACTTTCAAGTGATAGCACAACTTAATATTCAAGACACTGAGGACCAGAAATACATTTTTAAAAACATGATTTAATGACTCACTTAAAATTTTTTTTTCTTTTTGGTCAGTTGTGGGCTTGACCTCTGGGCCTGGGCGCTATCCCTCAGCTCTTCAGCTCAAGGCTAGGGCTACAGCTCCACTTCCAGTTTTCTGAGTAGTTTACTGGAAATAAGAGTCTCATGGACTTTCCTGCCCTGGCTGGCTTTGAACCGTGATCCTTAGATCTCAGTCTCCTGAGTAGCTAAGATTACAGGTGTGAGCCACTGGTGCCTGGCTTAATGACTGTTTTTTTTCTTTTTTTTGCCAATACTTCTTTTTTCTTTTAAATATGGAATGCTTCATATATTTGCATGACATCCTTGCACAGAAGCCATGCTAATCTTCTCTGTACCATTCCAGTTTTTAGTATATGTGCTGCCGAAGTCAGAATTCTTTTTTTTTTTTTTTTTTTCCTCACCAGTCCTGGGATTTGAAATCGGCTTGGGCACTGTCCTTGAGCCTCTTTGTGCTCAAGGCTAGTGCTCTACCACTTGAGCCACAGCATCACTTTCAGCTTTTTCTGAGTAGTTTATTATAGATGAGTCTCACAGACTTTCCTGCCTGGGCTGATTTTGAGCTGAATCCTCAGATCTCAGCCTTCTGAGTAGCTAGGATATGGGTGTGAGCCACCAGCACCTGGTTTCTTTTTGTTTGTCTTCTGATGAGTACCTTGCTTGTTTGTTGTTTCATTCAGTTGTGAATGACAAGAGTTTTTCTGTGTAGCTCAATGGGGCCATGGAGTCAAAATCCTCTTGCCTCAGTCACCCAAGTGCTTTTAAAATTACTTTGGAAATAGAAGCTGTGACTGGGTGCTGGTGACTCACACCTGCAATCCTAGCTACTCAGAAGGCTGAGATCTAAGAATTGTAGTTCAAAGCCAGCCCAGACAGGAAAATCCATGAACTCTTACCAGGCACACAGACACATACAGTCAGTAGTGCAGTTTGGCTCAACTGGTAGAGTGCTAGCCTTGAGCAGAAAACTTCAGGGATGGGGCTGAGAAGTTGGCTCAGTGGTAAAGTACTCGCCTTGCATTCTTAAGGCCCTGGGTTCAATTCCTCAGCACCACATAAGCAGGGAAAAAAAAGCCGGAAGTGGTGCTGTGGCTCAAGTGGTAGAGCGCTAGCCTTGAGCTGAAGAGCTAAGGGACAGTGCCCAGGCCAAGAGTTCAGGCCCCACAACCGGACCCCCCAAAAAAAAAGAAAACTAAAGGGACGACACCCAAGACCTGAGTTCAAGCCCCTGACCTGCACCAAAAAAAGCAATAGGATTTATTTCTTTGTGTTTCTGTTTTCTTTTTGTCTTGTTTATCTGTCTTTGGGAGGATAAGGGGAGATGGAGGGAAATGGAGGGAAAAAGGATAAACAAAGCAGTGCTATTCACTAGACACTATGCTGAAAACTTCAGCTTGTGGGTGGAATGGGAGGGAAAAACTGGGAGAGAGTTAAGGAAGGGATGACATTGTTCAGGAAGAAATGTACTAATTACTTGATTCATGAAACTAGCCTCTCTGTATATAACCTTTATAGTAATAAGAAAAAACAAACATGGAAGCCATGAGTGACAAGATGGAAAATTGCATTTTTTTTTTGTTTTTTTTGGGGTCTGGTCATGGGGCTTGAACTCTGGGCCTGGGTGCTGTCCCTCAGCTCTTCAGTTCAAGGCTAGCGCTCTACCACGTGAGCCACAGTGCCACTTCTGGCTTTTTCTGTTTATGTGGTGCTGAGGAATCGAACCCAGGGCCTCAGGCATGCAAGGCAAGCGCTCTACCACTGAGCCACCTTCCCAGCCCTCTTTAGTATACTTTTGTCTACTGTAATATTCCAGCTTCCCAGGACCAATGGGACTTGAACCCACAATTGGCAAAAGTAGTCACCAGCTCTCTGTCAAACTGGCTGGAAGCCTTTTGTTAGCCACTTGGCATCTGTCCTCGGCTTACAGAGCTGGAGAACAGCCCCCGTTTGCTTTCCATGGGGGATTTTTATAGGAAGAGGTTTTACCAGTAGGTGAGTTTACCAATACAAGCAAGCAAGGTTACAGAAGCAAAACATAGCCTTGAGTCACAAGAGCATAGGCAAAACAATTTTTATTTAGTCAGCATGATTGGTACTATCAATGCTATTGACGTTATTACAAAAAGTTAAAACATACCTTTGGCTTACTGAAGGCAAAACATAACCTTGGGAAGGGGTAGTATATTTTAAATCTTAAAACATGAGAAACTCATTCCCATGGTTGGGGGTGCACTGGAATTTTCTTTACAGAAATGATTTTTATTATAAGCTCCTTACTAATAACAGCAAGTCAGTACAACTGCTGATAAGGCTCAAGGTTGTCAGCAAAGTTTGTGGCAAACTACAAAGCTGACAGCCTGGGAAGCTTGAGAGAGGGAGAGATGTTTGCTTTTAGCAGGATGTTTCTGATTTCACATTTTTTGTTGCCATGAATATCCTTTTCCAAGGGAAAAGGGCCCAGGGGGGAAAGTAAGTCTCCTATAGCAGGAGGGACTGAGGCTAGGCAATAGAAGTAACTGCCAGTAACTCAGATACCTTGATTTTGGTGGGGGTTATCACAGCTACCTACTAAGAGGTAGATGTTGGGTTGAGGCCCACCTGGAAAATTTAGGATAATCGATTCACTATGTAAGTTAACATATTCATAGGTTCTAGGAACTAGGGCATAGGCATTTTAGGAAGTTTGTATTTTTTTTTCTCCAATCCTGGGACTTGAATTTCTAGGCCTGGGATCTTTCCCTGAGCTTTTTTTGCTTAAGATTAGTGGTTTAACATTTGAGCCACAGTGCCACTTCCAGTTGTTGTTTTTTTTTTTTTTTTTTGTCAGTCGTGGGACTTGAATGCTGTCCCTCAGCTCTTCAGCTCAAGGCCAGCACTCTACTACTTGAGCCACAGTGACACTTCCGGTTTTCTGGTGGTTTATTGGAGTCTCATGGACTTTCCTGCCCAGGCTGGCTTTGAACTGGGATCCTCAGATCTCAGCCTCCTGAGTAGCTAGGATTACAAGCATGAGCCACTGCTGCCCAGCCTGAATAGTTTATTGGAGATAAAAGTTGGGCTGGGAAGGTGACTCAGTGGTAGGGCACTTGCCCCTGGGTTCCATTCTTCAACACCACATAAGCAGAAAAAATAAAAAAGCAGGAAGTGGCACTGTGGCTCAAGTGGTAGAGTGCTAGCCTTGAGCTGAAGAGCTGAGGGACAGCACCCAGGCCCAGAGTTCAGGCCCCACGACTAAATCCCCCCCCACACACATTAAAAAAAAGTCTAACAGACTTTCCTTTGGCTGACTTCGAACATGATCTTCAGATCTCAGCCTCCTGAGCAGCTAGGATTACAGGCTTGAGCCTGTAATGATTTTGATATTTAAATTATCCTGAGGCAAGACCTTTGAGTCCTTTTTTTTATTGCCCACAGAGATTTCTAGGCTACACTGTCAAGAGGAAGATTCTAGATGGAGCTTAGTGATCTCCCTGACTTGTAATGGAACTGGGATTCTAGAGACCAAATGGGCTGGAATTTGTAGGAAAAGTCTATGGATCTGCAGAAGATTCTTCTAGCTGGGTGCTGGTGGCTCCTAATTACTCAGGAGGCTGAGCTATGAGGTTTATGATTTGAATCCAGTCTGGGCAGGAAAGTCCACTAAATTCTTATCTCCAATAAACTACTCAGAAAAAGCTGGAAGTGGTGCTGTGGCTCAAATAGTAAGGGCTAGCCTTGCACAAAAAGAGGCTCAAGGACAGTGATCAGGCCCTGAGTTTTAAGTCCCAGAACCAACACACACATACACGCGTACACACACACACACACACACACACACACACGCACGCAGAGAATGTAGTTCAAGGCCACTTCTGGCAAGAAGTGGGGCCTTATCCAAAAAACAAAGCACAAAGGGCTCCTGTAGTCGTGTGCTGACACAGCAGTGAGAAACTCAGAATTCAAATCTCAGTACCACCAAGAGATTTAAAAAAATATTTTGGAGAAAATCACAATCAGTATTTTCAGCAATTTTTAAAGTTGTGGTCATAAACTGCCCTTTGGATCTCAGTCGTGTTCGTGGTGCCCATTTCACACTCACTTTTTGTAACTCCACGAATGCCTACCTTGCTTTCAATCTTTCTAGAATCCCGAGGGCACCTCCCAACACACCAAGTTCCCGAATTGCTGGTATTCATATTCGTACAGTCATTTTTTTTTTTAACACCTGTAAATCCGGCTAGAAAGGCAAAGAAAACCCGTCACCAAGGCAACAGAACGCGATTTCACGCAAAATGGACGCCGGCTCCCGTTGCTCGGCAGTCCCAGGAAGTTACCTCGCGTATTTCCGGTTTCGTATTTCCGGCCCCGCTCGTTCCGGCGCTCGCGCCGTTCTCGTGGCTCCTCTCGGTGCCGGTGCTGGAGCCCGGCTCGGGTTGAAGTAGCTATGGATTCTTTGGATCGAGTTGTGTAAGTACTTTGGTCCTCGTGGCGGAGTGGGGACGGCGGCGACCGGGTCTCCACGGTTACCTCCTTCCTCTCTGGCACTTTGCCTTCGTCTGTGCGGGTGGGTTCTCCAGCTCGTACAGCCAGGGGAGATCCGGGAGGGCCCGGAAGCCCCCGCGCGATGGCGGAGGGACCCCAGCGCTGGCCGGGGAGCCTGAGACCTGCTTGCTCAGGTGTGAGGGGGGGTACCGGGAGGGGTAAGCTCCGACCTTTGAGTCTCACAGATCTAGGTGACAGTCCGAGAGGGCTACTTAACGCCTTGTGACTGGGCCATCCACCTCTCCAAAGAGCAATTACGTCCATCTCTGATGAGCAGTGAGAGTTTGGTGAAAGCTTTTGTGAAGTTTTTGCTGCAGCATCTGTGAAAGTGTTCATTAGCTTGCTCTATTCCTTTCAGCTTTCGTACACTTCTAGCTATCCTTCAGGAGTGTTTTGGGTCCGCTCGTGGGTCCTGAACTCTGGGCCTGGGCGCTGTCCCTCAGCTCTTCAGCTCAAGGCTAGCACTCTACCACTTGAGCCACAGCGCCACTTCCAGCTTTTTTTTTTATTTTTGCTTATGTGGTGCTGAGGAATCGAACCCAGGGCCTCAGGCATGCAAGGCAAGCGTTCTACCACTGAGCCACCTTCCCAGCCCTCTTTCTTCTTTTTTTTTTTTTTAGACAAGATCTTAAAAAATGTGGCCAGGGTTGTCTGCAAACTTACAGCCTTCCTTCTGAGTCCTCCATTATTATTTAGAACTTACATGAAATTATTTTATAGTTGAAGAAACTAAAGTACTGGGAAATAATATTCCTATGGTCCTACAAGAAATGGTAGAACTAGTTTTTGAACCTAGGTGATACAGCTTTAGAACCACTTTTTTTCCTTTATTTTTTGGGGTGTGTGTGTGTGAGAGAGAGAGAGAGAGACCGTGTGTAACCGTGTGTGACCTTGGGCTTGGTAGGCAAGTATTCTACTACATATACCCTTAACATACACTCCTATCTAAGAAAGGGATTGAAAAGTATATGTTTGAGACATGGTTGTATTATGGAGTGTAGCCTAGCCTCAAGCTCTTAAGTCCTTCAGTGTTAGCCTCCTGAGTGTTGAAATTAGTTTACACCATCACCTCTGATTTATGTCTTCATTATATTTTTTACTTCACAAAAATGTCATTATATGTTCTGTTTTATTATCGCCTTGCATATATTTTAAATTTAAATTTACCTTATGAAATACATTGATGGGCTAGAGTAAGTTCAGTGTAAGAGTAACTATCTAACGTGAAGCTCTGGGTTTTATTCCTGACATGGCAAAATGATAAGGTTTGAGTTTATAGCTGAGTGGTAGAGGTATACCTAGCATGTGTGAAGCCCTAGGCATAAGTTCTGGACACCAAGAAGAAAAGGGTCAATGAATATATTCTTTAACTATGTGAAACTGCCAGTTTGGCTTAGTATCAGCAGTTTCATATTGTGCACATTAACACATATTATGTTGCTGTCCATAAGTTTGGCATCATTCATAGCTATGTGTAGAAGTTTTTAGTGCTTCACATCTTTGGCTCAGAGCTTCATCCTCTACTGTAGGCACACAGTTTACTAAAGCTGCAAAATCTAGATAACTGTTTACCAGAAGCAGGTTTTTTTGCCTTTAACCTTTTGTAATTGAGAATGTCCCTACTCTAGCCTCTTGCTTCATGCATTTCATCCTTCATTTTGAGTCATACCCTTACCTGGAAGCCCAAATTCATGACCTACTTTTCCAGTGCAAGACTTGAGACTGGGCTGGGAAGGTGGCTCAGTGGTAGAGTGCTTGCCTTGCATGCCTGAGGCCCAGGGTTCGATTCCTCAGCACCATATAAGCAAAAAGAAAAAAAAAGCCGCAAGTGGCGCTGTGGCTCAAGTAGCAGAGCGCTAGCCTTGAGCTGAAGAGCTGAGGGACAGCGCCCAGGCCCTGAGTTCAGCCCCCACGACTGGACCCAAAAAAAAAAAAAAAAGACTTGAGACTATCAGGCATATGGCTTTAATCTCATTCATTGCTAGAGTTTGTTTTGGAGATATTTGTAGTTTTGGGGTCCAGTCATGCCTTCAGTGATAATATTCTCTGCTTAAAAGCAGGAAGAACAATTACACTTTGAGCTTCCTATTCTATCTTTTTTTTTTTGTCAGTCGTGGGG